AAATATATGCACACACACAGGAGAAGGTAGATATCTCTTTGTCATATTATCTTCTTTTATTTTGTTATATACATAAATCAAAATATCACTTGAACACAAAGGTCTATACAAGTATGATTTATCAAAAAAAATTCAGATGTAATCTACTAATAATTTAAGTATCATATCTTTCTTGAGACAATTGTATGGGGGAGAATGTAACTACCAAACACTAAATCTTTCAGTTAGATGATTCCTGAAGGATTTATTAATGAAGTCACAATAACATGAAAAGATCTTCTTTTCCATTACATGAAACCAAATTTCTCAGCAAGAAACTACACTTTATGTATGTTTTTCCTTTGAAAGTATTTGTAAAAACTGATTTGGCCATAACAAATTATCAGAATAAGAACAATGATTGATTTCTTCTTAATTTTATAAGTCTTGTCTTTTGCCTTTTATGTTCTTAATTTTTTTTTTTACATTCAAACATTGTGTATCATTACAGCATACCAAATGAGTTTTCCCATTGTGAATATTAATTCATTCATAGAACTTACCATAACATGTCATCAATAGGTAATTTGCCATTTTTGTGTATTTTAAATGTTTTCTTCCTATTACAGGACTGATGTTTCTAAAAATCATAAAGTAAAACTCAGAAATTCTCATAGTGAATCACTTCCCAAGGCTTGTGTTTTTGACCTCTTCAGCAGTACCTTCAAATTGTATCTAATTTTCAGAATTTCTTTTCTGGTTTTTAACTCTACTTCAGCCTCCTTGGTGAGCCTGTCTTCATCCATAGCCTCAGCTAGATTACCTTGACTTTCTAAATATTAATAATATTGTTTCTATGAGGTAAGAGTTTGCTGAGTCCTGGCCATGAGCAGGAGCTGTGCTTAAGCTGAAAAACTAGAAAAGAGGTTGGGAGGATCTTCTCTTTCCTGCCCATAGCATGGACAAAGAAAATCAGTTCCTGTTCTGTGATGCAGAATTTGGTGGAGTGCTGTCATTAAAAGGCATTGACAAAATTAAATAGAAAGCATTGAAATTTTTCTTTAGAGGTTTTTGGTATAGCTTGCATGTGCTCGCCAGAAAGACAGAAACAGAGAGACAGGAAGCAAAAAATCACCACCCTGGGAGGGATGGCCATGATGCAATTCCTTCTTCTCCATTCTCCTCTCGAAAACTTGGGTACACAAGCACACATGCCCAACATGAGTTTAAGCCACAGGGTCCAGGACTAGAACCGTGGTTGCCTACATT